GTTAACTCTGTTCCTGTGTCAAATAAGCACGAGATCCTGAACTGTCTCAACAAACATTTTGTTGCTTCTAGTTCTTTATTTGACACAGTTACTAATGGAAGATCAACCACTTCCCCTAATAACCAAACTTCTACAAATCAAATCCCTCCTACAAGTCAATCCTCAGTTAATCACAGCTTCTCTTTTTCTCCATTCTCAGTCAGTGAGGTCAATAAACTGTTAATAGATCTTGATCCTAAAAAATCTGCAGGTCCAGATGAACTTCCACCTTATTTCTTAGGGACTGTGATGATATGAGCAGCCAGCCTTGTGACACACATCTTCAATCTCTCCATAAGACAAAACTCCATCCCAGACACTTGGAAAACAGCTTTTGTTCTTCCTTTGCTGAAGGGAGGAGGCCCCACCTCACTGAACAACTATCGACCAATCTCTAAACTCTGCATTTTAGCCAAGGTTCTAGAAAAACTGATAAACTTTCAAATCAAAAATTACCTGGACTCATTTAACATCTTACCTCCACATCAATCTGGTTTCAGGAAACAACACAGCACAACCACTGCTTCACTGAAGGTTCTTAATGATGTTGTTGAAGCACTGGATGCTAAGGATTATTGTGCTGCACTTTTCTTAGACCTGTCTAAAGCTTTTGACACTGTGGATCAGAACATCTTGTGTCATAAACTCTCAGAAATCGGTTTCTCAGATAACACCATTGGTTGGTTCTCTAATTATCTTTCAGACCAGAGGCAATGTGTTCAACATAATGGTACTTCCTCCAGTTATTTAACAGTCAACAATGGTGTACCACAAGGCTCAGTCTTAGGACCCACCCTCTTTACAATCTACATACATAATGTAGGTAAAAACATCCCTAATGCATCCATACATTTCTATGCTGATGACACAGTTGTTTATTGTCGAGCTAAAACTGTTGCTAAGGTTTTCCAGCTTTTGAAATCTGCATTCAACATCATCCAGACTGATTTGTTTCGCCTCAAACTTGTCCTAAATGCCGACAAAACCAAAGGGATGCTTTTTTCAAATAGGAAGTTGGTCCCAGCAGTTCTTCCTCCGATTTTATCCTCAAATGGTGGCCCCATTGAGTTTGTTGATTCCTAATAATATTTGGGTATCTTGGTCGACTCACATCTCTCTTTTAAGCTCCATGTGGAAAATTTGACAAAGAAACTGAAAGTTAAACTGGGTTTCTTTTTCAGAAACAAATCCTGTCTAACCCCGAATGCTAGAAAACGCCTTGTATCTGTGACTTTCCTTCCCTCAATTGATTATGGTGATATTATTTACATGAACGCTCCTACAAGAACCCTGCAGATGTTGGATGCTGTCTATCATGGTGCACTAAGATTCATAACTGGCTGTGATTATCGTAACCACCACTGCACCCTGTTTTCACTGGTTAACTGGACATCATTAACTTCACCCAGACTCTCTCACTGTTATATTTTCATCTTTAAATCACTTCTTGGTCTGTTGCCTTCATACATCTCCTACTTGTCTCTGCGTGAGTGCAGCTATGGAGTGCGCTCTCAGGACATTATTACCTGCAGTGTTCCCTCAATGAGGACTGAACTAGGCAAAAGGGCCTTCTCCTATTCCGCTCCTGTTTCCTGGAATATCTTACAAAAAGATTTGAAGCTCTCGACCTTGACCTCTCTAAGTGTCTTTAAGAATCTGTTGGACACCTGGCAGGGTCCAATGCTGACATGTTCCTGTTTTTAGTTTTCTACATTTGTCTTGGAATCTAGCTGTTTTTTGTTTTGTTACCTTTTCCTTTTAGCCATCCTATTTGTTAAAAAAAAAAAAAAAACTGTAGTATGCTTTTTAAAAACTGTTTATTGTTGTTGCTGTTGTCCATTGTTGTCATCTTTCTTTGTTGAAATCAGGTCTCTCTTGTAAATGAGTCCTGGAGGCTCAATGGGATTTACCTGTATAAATAAAGGTTGATTGATTGATTGATTGATAACTTGATTTCTAAGTCTAACGAGGTTTAAAAATCATTAATACTGTTTCACAGTTGATTTAAAATGAGTGGTTCACTTCAACATCTAGAAATGGTATGAACTAAACATACTTTGATTATCAAGATATTCTAAAATAGTAATGATAATGAAAAAAGGAAGAGTGTTCTTTCACTTGATTAATTCAGGATACAACAAAATAGTCTCTTGATGAGATAATTTGTATTTCTGGTTTCAAATCAATGAAATAACAGTTCCTGTCCCCTGAAGGTCTTCAGAGGCAGATTGTTGTCGGAGGCCTAGTTCACTACAGTCCCCCCTTTGGAAATCATCGCCTGTCCATGGGGATGAATTCTAACATGAACTTATGCCTCCGAATGTCCTTGATCTTGATGTAATCCAGCAAGAGGAAAACAAAAGTCAAAGAAGGTAATCCCACAACGGTTTAGGTAATTCCACAATGTTGTTGGTAATTCCATAATGTTGTTGGCAATTCCATATTGTAGTTGGTAATTCCATTGTAGCAATGCTTTAACCCCTTGGAAACAAAGTCTGTAATACATTGGAAAAAGTCATATAATACACAACGATAAATTCACAACGATTGGAGGTGTTGATTGATCAGCATGTAGAGGGGTTGCCTCGATTGAACTGCAGAGGCGACCACTGGATGGAGATTGGAGACCCACGTTGGAGTTGTAGGTCCCTTCAGTGAAGGTTGCTGCTGGTGGTTCCCAGTGGGTGCCATTCTGGTTCTATGTGTTCATGCAATTATGTGGTTTTAGTTGGGCTTATGAGTTGGATTTTACATAAGACCTTAACCTATATGCACCTGATGTGTAAGCTATCATGGTTTAGATCAGCTACAGGTACCAGTTAAAAGGTGGATCATGCTGAAAAATTATATATAGGGATTTATACCTATAGAAGGGCATTTCAAACTCTTTTTCCATTCCTAACTTGGTTTAAGTTAGATTTATATGGCAAAATATAGTTTGGTTCAATTGTCTGTTGTCCCTTTAGACGAACGACTTGAGGTTTGGTTTTCCCCCTTAATGTTTTTGGAGTCTATGGCGAGACTCAACTTAAGGATTAGCTAGCTGTTCAGTGTCAGGAGGGCTGTGATCAGTCTTTTATCGGGGAAACAAAACAGCCACTGGCCAAAAGGATGGCCCAGCACAGAAGATCAACATCATCAGGCCAGGACTCTGCGGTCTACACTCATCTCCAGGCCAGCGGTCACTCTTTCAGGGATGAAGATGTGCACATCCTGGATAGAGAGGAACAATGGTTTGAGAGAGGAGTAAAGGAGGCCATCTTTGTGAAAAGAAATCGTCCATCATTAAACAGGGGTGGAGGCCTACGTGTTCAATTGTCCCCCTCTTACAATGCTGTGATTGTTAGTATCACTCAGCCCTCTGTGAATAGTAAACAGCCATCAGTGTGCTAATGATCCATTGTTAGGCTGATGGTCCTTCTTGATCATGTGAGCAGCTGGTTTTGGTTGTCAGCAGCAAAACTGGTTGATCCACTCTGAGAAGGTGCTATTTAAGAGACTGAGCTGAATACAGCACCTCAGACTGAGGAAGTCTCTCGGATGAGAGACGAAACGTTTCTACATTTTTTTGTTGTTTTGCTTTTTTGAATGTCCAGAGTACCAGATTTAACTTTTTTAGATTTTTCTACCAGGATTATTGAGCATGCATCAGAATATCTTGATGAGATAATTTGTATTTCTGGATTCAAATCAATGAAATAGCAGTTCCTGTCCCCTTAGGGTCTTCAGAGACAGATTTTTTTCAGAGGCCTAGTTCACTACAACCAAATGAGTCTATTAAATTATTAAAGGCTCTGCTTAAGCTATCACTTTCAACATCTACAAGAATATTGAAATCACCCATTATGAGGACGTTATCTGTATTAAATAGTAAGTCAATTAAAAATTCTGAGAATTCAGACAAAAATCGAGAGTAAGCGCCTGGTGGACGATACATAACAACTAGTAAAAGTGGCTTTTCTGATTTCCATTTTCGATGAGAAAGACTGATGGACAGTGATTCAAAAGAATCAACTAATAACTGGTTTGGTTATCACACCAGATACTGAAAGCAAAGGTTCACATACTTTTACCACTCATATGTAACATTGGATCATTTTCCTCAAATAAATGACCAAGTATAATTTTTTGTCTCATTTGTTTAACTGGGTTCTCTTTACCTACTTTTAGAACTTGTGTGAAAATCTAATGTTGTTTTAGGTCATGTTTATACAGAAATATAGAAAATTATAAAAGTTCAAGTGCTTCGTTCAAGGTCTCTCAGGCACAAATACAATATTTTTATTCATCAATTCCAACAAAACATATGTTCAAATTGACATTAATTAATTCCACCTACAACACTTTCATAGCTCCAGAAATGGGACAAATTATTTTTATACAAACAGCAATTTATGAAAACTAGATGAACTATAGAGAAGTGAAGAGGTTTAGAAAACATCTGGTTCAACAGCTGTAAAACATGTGAATACAGGTGCATGTCAACAAGTTAGAATAAGATGAAAATTAGTTTTTTTTTTTGGTTGTTTTTTTTTTGGGGGGGGGGGGGGGGGGATTTCAGAAAGAAATACTCATTAAATAGATTCATTACAAATAAAGTGAAATATGTCAAGCCTTTACATTCTATAATTTTGATGATTATGGCTGACAAATCATCCACCCATCATCTTTACCCATTTCTTCCTTTTCGGGTCGCAGGGGTCACTGGTGCCCATGTCCTCTGCTGGTCCTGGTCCACTGAAGTCCACGCAGCATCTAGCAGGACATTTTAGAGACTTCATGCTTCCTGCTAATGACAAGCTTCATAGACATGCTGGTTTCATTTTCCAGCAGGACTCAGCTCCGGCCCACACCGACAAAGGTACCAGAAGCTGGTCCTGGAATATTCTCATTTTCTGAGAAACTAAGCTTTGGTTTGTCATTATTTGTAAGTTATAATCAACAAAAATACACAAAATAAAGGCTTCAAATATTCCACTCTGTGTAAAGAATAAGTTTCACTTTCTAAAACGACTGAAAAAATATGTCATGAAATTCTATGTTCGTCAGAATTTTAAAGCTCACCAGTTTTTACTGATGATTTGATAGAAAGAACAGAAGCTGGATGAATTCTGCACAGCTTCACACACATTCAGGGAAACTGTACAAGTCTACACATTTACTGCTAACGCATCACAGCAGCAGCCAGGCTGGTGTCAGTGAAGGCATCACAGCATCAGTCTGTCGGGTGTCAGTGAAGGCATTGCAGCAGCAGCCAGGCTGGTGTCAGTGAAGGCATCACAGCATCAGTCTGTCAGGTGTCAGTGAAGGCATCACAGCATCAGTCTGTCAGGTGTCAGGCCAAGTTATCTCCGGTGTTGGAATCCCCTTGGTCACTGGTCCGGTCCCAATCTTTCATGGAGGCTTCCATCATGAAGTCCTCTCTGAGAACGCTCCAGGCAGGTTTCTCCTCTGGACCAGGAGTCTGCACAAAAATATCACACACATCACTCTGCAGCACACACCAGGGCAGATGATAACATATAGTAGCATTTAGATTCCAGATGGATGTTTTGGGCTATTTGATGGTATTGCGTTTGTCGCTCTGGTTTCTCAGGTGAACAGAAACATTGACTTCTACTCTGAGCTGTTGCTGCCTCAAAATCAGAACTCTCACTACTGAAAGGTGCAATGGAAGAGAAAAAATATTTGTCTGTTACAGTATCTCATGAACCACTGAATGAATTTTTGCAGAAAGTAATCATTGGATGCACATGGTTGACTTCAAGAGTTACTGTACTTTCTGGTCTATAAGCCACTACTTTTTTACACGCTTTGACCCCGCCCCCCCAGCTTATACAATGCTGCAGCTAATTTATGGACTTTTTCTTTTGATGGGCTAACGGGCATTTGGGGGCCAAGATGGGGTGGGTGGAAGTAGGGCAACCGACCTGGGACCAGAAAGTACAGTAAC